CCTGTGTCCAGACCGGCTCTGGGGCCCACCCAGCCTTCTATCCAATGGGTACCGGGGTCCTTTCCAGGGGGTAAAGCACGGCCGGGGCGTGATGCTGACCACTCACCCCAAAACGCCTACATGGCGTATAGTGGGACAAACTTTACTTTACTTATACGTATACATCACAGAAACCATATAAGTTAGATACGGAACCTTAAGATTCATTACCGTGCTCAATAGAGCCCGCCACTAATCCCAGTCCTGAGTCAGACAAATCATATCAAAATTCTCCAATCACATTTCGACAATTATAATATTATCCAACCAAATGTTGTCTTCCAAGTTGTCTCATCAATTCAGGCTTTCCAAATAAAGTTTTGTGTTTAACCCCACGTGAAAATTTTGATAGTAATATGGAGGTTCATCTAATCCTATACCAGTACAATGATAGAAATCAATTGAAACAAAACTAGAAAACCTTAAATCCTACAAAGCTGATTTACATCAGATAAGATTTTATCTAATAAAACTGCCTTTAAAATTAATCTCCTGCTATTATCATTTTCGTTTTTCAGATGATGAAGGCTTCTTTTTCTTATTTCACGATGCTGAGTCAGCTCAACGGGTCTTAATGAGTCTACATCCGCCAGTAACTAGGCCTGGGATCTGTGCAACCATCAAGCAGAATATTTACTGCAAATAAGAGAACAAAAAACTTTTCCACGTAATCAGTTACTTTGGCAGAATTTTAATATGTAATATCACGTTAAATGTCACTGTAATACTGTAAAGAAACGACTGTCATTGTATAGTTAATACTTTATTTAGTATATGTTTTAGGGTTACATATTTTATGTAGACGCAAAATATACGCGAGCTTCAGCCACGTCACTGAATGAGGGGAAGGAAAATGTAAATCCACAGAATTTTCAAAACGCTGACAACACACCAATGTATTTTGTGGACTTCACACGCGTTTTTCTGAAACTGTCATCCAACCTCGGAATTATTTTGCCGCCATTATAACTGCAAAATAAACACAATCACCAGGAATTTATTTCAAATTCACGAAAAATTTATTGTAAACTGGATTACATATCCCACGATTTACGATTCTTTAAATTAATTATATAATTTATTGCGTCGTTAATTTGTTTAGAACCGTTGTTATGTTTTGAAATTACGATGCCTACATTTTAGTTAGAACATGACTTTCCAAAATATTCACATTCAATAAAAAATTTAAAAAAAAAAATGGAATATTAAAACAAAACGTTTAATTATACATCCCTTTAATGGAAGTCATTTTTGTTTTTTTAACAAGTAACTCTGCTGTACGATCACTGACTATAATGCATTCTGTGCAATTCTGCATGAAACACATTAAAACTCTGTATCATCACTGAAAAACAAAATTCTGAACTATTGATCGTAATTTAAATAAAAGAATCTTAAACAGCTGTTTCTATTATTCTGTATAGTTAACCTCCCCAAAATTACTCGGAGGGTCTTTCCATGTGTTTCCGGATACAGTTAATCGTAGGAATCGATTCCAAAGATTCTGAACCCGTTTTTATGTACAGAGGGACCTAGATGATAAATTGACACCGATATTTGGGATTATGTCCATGTCGAGACTTATTTTTGGCTATGAAGAACACATACGAACACACATGCACTAAGAGGGAGTCGAACTCTAGATCCCAAGGTTTTGTCGGCACAGAAACGAGCGTCTACGGCCCTGGTAATAGCTGGACGACATTTAAAAATGTTTGCGAAAAACAATGGTTTTGATAAATTTGTCGCATCGATTAAAATGAAATTAACCAGATTTTGTGAGATAATTAAGATAACTGTCTTTAGGTATGTTATGTTTTTATGCGTCTGGTAGAAGTTTACCAACGTTTCAGAGGTCCTTGTTGCCTCAATCATCAGGGCGATAACATTTAATGGTAACCAACCGAGCAGTTTCGAAGTTAAAATTCAGAAATTCTTGTAGTAAATTATGAGTTCATTTTAAGACTTTTGTGTAAAGCGTCCATTATATCTAAATCATATTTCCATTTAATACCGAAATAAAACATGCAGTAAACTTTCATTTAGAATTTTTGTTATTACCAAAACTGAAGCCACATAAACATCTTATTTCCGCATAAGACGGGAAAATTATTTTTTTAAAGACTTTAAAATGAAAATCTTGGTACATTTTATAAGGTAATGTTCTGCAAAAGAAGACATTTAACGCAACCAAATATTTCACAACAGAATTAAATTATTTTATAGTACGCGTGATAAAACGTACAACGGTCCCACACCTTGGCGATATTTAAGATTCTCATGGCGACAATTCTGATGGTAACTTTCATCTGGGATGTTGCGCAGTGTAGTCTGATAGAAATTTACAGACATTTCAGTGGTATTTACTAACTCCATCATCAGGGCGATTAATAAATCTTAGATTTTATATCCCCAAAACACACTTATGCATATCACCACCGTTTTTTAATGCATTTACAATCAGTACGCGTTCCACAGATACAAAGTAAGAACTTTATCATTACACAAGCAGTAAAACACTGCCCATGACCGATAAAGCCACCTACACGTTACAGGTTTTACAACTGGAAACACGCAATTTAATATCTCCAACTCAGTAACTTATTAATAGTAAAATTAAAGTAAAGTTTGTCCCCCTACGCGCCATGTAGGCGTTTGGGGTGAGAGGAGGTGTAGCTCCTCTCTTTCTTGACCTCGGCACTAGATGGGGTGAGTCGTCAGCATCACGCTCCGGCCGGCTTTACCCCCGGTACCCATTGTAGAGGAGGAGGCTGGGTGGGCCCCAGGGCCGGTCTGGACGCAGAGGATAGAGGAAAAATCCTCTGCCCCCGTCGGGGATCGAATCCCGGTCGTCCAGCCCGTAGCTAGTCACTACTTATTAACAGTAGTTACGTGAATAAACTACAGACTTCTGCAGTAAAAACAGACGACATATCATGATTTATCATACTGACCCACATGTCCCATTTTAACTATATACTAACGATTAAATTCTCACTTTTACAATCATATATAAAAGTTTTATAATTTTATAAACCCCCAAGTATTGGAGCCACAGCGTAGGTTAATATTTATTTATTTTAAATGCATTTATTTATTTATTTAGTGTTCTGTCTGACGACAGTTCCATATGAACAGGATCCTTCCATCCTTTTCACGGACTGGGACCTGTTCATATACGTTTTTGGCAGATGATCCAGAAGTGGTTTGCCGTTGCCTTCTTCTGTGTGTGAATGGAGTAATTGTTGGGATGCCACGGAGAAACCGGGGAAGCCCCCGGAGGAAAACTCCGTGTTGCCTAGACCACGGCCTTGCTCAACACAAGTTATAAATTCGGGCACCGCCGGGAATCGAACCCGAGACCCCAGGATTACAAGGCCAGCGTTCTAACCGCTGGACCACCGTGGCTCTCTTTAAATGCATGTACACGTAAAATAATATGTTTCTGTCTGTGGATTATAGTCAGTATATTTAGTATTTACTTTGTGAAGATGAACTTATGAGGTCAAAACATACTGCAATGAAATTAATTTGGAAGTAATATTTATATAATCAAATTTATGTAGAAGGTTTTATCGTTAATAATTTTATTGATCACGCAACAGAATAAGTCTGTCTAGATAGAACTTATTCACTCAAGACGTAACATTTTGCATATCTCGAAAGACGTCTTTCGAGATATGGACTAACTGGATTTCGTGGTTACTTAAATTCGCGGATCTCTTTCAAATTAAACCAAAGTAATATACTAAAGCAAGTCGATTTTATAGAATTGTTTCGTCAGTTATTTTAACGGCGTTTGCTGATTCCATTGTAGCTGTTAACACAAGTTGAACAAAACAACACCGGGCGATTTAAAACGTGAAAACAACGTGAATTTTAATTTTGCTGCTAGACAGATTTTTTTAAAATATTATATACGAGAACGACACACTAGCTGGTCAACTTTTTTGCTAACTGGCAAAACGCACTTACTTGGCAGCTTCAGACTCCCTACTATTGCAGACTGCTTCTCGTAATGCTCAAAAGTATGGACAGATTCCAGTAGTACTTGTTGCACAATCTCTAGATAAGTCAGAATATGGAAAGTGGGACTTTTACAGTGAAAGATTACGCTATATACACAAATATGTGTACGTATTAATTGGGGATTTTCCATGTTTTATTATTTTTTATTTAGTGTTCTGTGTGACGACAGGTCCATATGAACAGGATCCTTCCATCCTTTTCTCGGACTGGGACCTGTTCATATACGTTCTTGGCAGATGATCCAGAAGTGGTTTGCCATTGCCTTCTTCTGCGTGTGAATGGAGTAATTGTTGGGATGCCAATGAGGAAAACTCCGTGTTGCCTAGGCCACGGCCTTGCCCAACACAAGTTATAAATTCGGGCACCGCCGGGAATCGAACCCGAGACCCCAGGATTACAAGGCCAGCGTTCTAACCGCTAGACCACCTCATCTTTTTATTATTTAGTGTTCTGTCTGACGACAGGTCCATAAGAACAGGATCCTTCCATCCTTTTCTCGGACTGGGACCTGTTCATATACGTTCTTGGCAGATGATCCAGAAGTGGTTTGCCATTGCCTTCTTCTGTGTGTGTGAATGGAGTAATTGTTGGGATGCCACGGAGAAACAGGGGAAGCCCCCGGAGGAACCACGGCCTTGCCCAACACAAGCTATAAATTCGGGCACCGCCGGGAATCGAACCCGAGACCCCAGGATTACAAGGCCAGCGTTCTAACCGCTAGACCACCGTGGCGGTTTCTATGTACGTACATATATTTCAACTGTTAATAAATCTACTACCACCTGTTTAAAAACAAGCGTGAAACGGGAAACGTATAAAATTCGCCATCCTTATGATAAAGAAAGAACAGAATTATTTGATGTTAAGTTGATCATATGCCCGTTGCAACTTATAATCCTGAAACACAACCGTGGATAAAAAAATCGCGTATAACGAGAGTCTGGTGGTTTCTTCAGCCAGTGCGAGCAACGCACTTGCCACCAGCGTCGACGTAGTTCAAATGACGTCACAGAACTAGCGCTCAGTAAGCCACCAGCAATCGATAACGTGTTCTGGTTACAGAAGTGATTCTGTTCAATCCCATAATGACCAGTTTTGATACGGGAAAAAAAAATATTGTAGAAGTGGAATCACGTCCCGCTATTTGGGATATCTCTTGTAAAGATTGTGTCAAAACAGATCAAAATTAATGTCTGGAGAAATTGAGTTTCTTGTTTCGAAAATAAGGTGAATCTAATGCAGGAAAAAGATACGTTGGTAAGCTGACATTTTATTTGATTTATTTTAAAAATCTATTTATATTATTGAGTACTGCTGTTCCATCAGTCGTCTTTACAGATTAATGAATTAATCCGCTAATTCTTCTCGGCTTAAAATCGTTGTTACATTTCCTCTACATGCATTAGCTATCTTGTAACATATCTAGGGGCCCCGTAATTATAACAACACCTTCAAGTCTGCAACCGTCTCTGGGCCGTACGTAATTATGAAAAAAGATATTCTTATTATATCGTCTATTAATTTAGCAAAAACATTATTTGATTTATACAACATTCGAATCAATTAAACAGCAAACCGGATGTATATTTGATGTACCAACGAGCTTTTGATAGGCGATAACTGACAAATTTTTCTTCGTAGAAAGATTAGGTAGAGTTTCAATATCTATCACACCAGTTCTCACAAAATTATAAGCCATACTTACTATTGACCTTGAAATTCATTTCTGAATAGGACAGCAAATTAGGTCACCCCACAACGTAGAAAATACCACAAATTGCGAGAAAAGCATCACGCATCATAACAAAAACCTATCAGAATTCAAAAAAAAAAAAAATTGTTTCAAATGTTTTAAAATAATTTTTAAGTTTCGGATTTCAAATTAAAGAAAATTAATAATATTTTTACTTTAAACAAAGGCAATTTCAACAAAGAAGGATAGCTTATTTCTTAAATACATATTTACCATTTCATATTTCTTTAACTTTACCTCAGTGTGATAAGAAATTTCTCGTCAGAAGGTATACACTCTTTTATATTAATATACGTAAAAGTCAACTGAACTTTTAAACATATTTTATAATCACGTCTTGACTCATGATGATGAAATATACTTCTTATTGATTTCTGGTTCTCAGGGCGGTGACAATGAAAATGGCGGTCGTCTGAGTTCTCGAACCAGCGCGCATTCCGTATCACCGGTCCGAAGCATGATGCCTCAAGCCCGTTTCACACATACACGGCGACCGTCCAAACGGCTCCGTTTACACGGTTAAAGGTCGAAGATTATACGAGAGCTTTCACACGCACCGGTGCCGTCTATACGGTAACGGTCTACCGTGAAGTCGCCGTGTCTTCCCACTACAAAACCCGGCGCCGTGACCGTTCTAACGAATAAAAATATGATTAACGTTCATGAAATTAAATTTTTGAAAGCTGCCATTTCAGAGAGCCAACAGGTGTTAAGAAGTAGTCAGCTAAAAGATTTCTCACACTCTTTGCTGATATTCCCCCGCGCACTACTTCTTCACCACGTATTTTATCAGGACCTGTGATTGTCAATGTATCCTCTGCCTCGTAGCCGTCTCTCTCCCGAACAAAGTTGTATAAATCAACACAAGCCTTGACAATGTCTACAGCAAAATCACTTTGCAAGTTTATAGGTCGATGAAAGATCCTCCATTTATTACTTAATATTCCAAACGAGCATTCTATGTACCTTCGGGCTCTAGAGAGACGATAACTGAGAACTTTTTGTTTTACTATCAAGTTATGTTGGCAACAAACAACAGAATAACCGGCTCCGGGTATGATCGGTTGTGTGTGAAGTTTTCACCGTTCCGTGTAAACGGTGCCGTTTGGACGGTCGCCGTATATGTGTGAAACGAGCCTCAGACCGCGGGGCTACGGCGCGGGACCAGTGGTGCGTGTTGGTGGCTTCGCGAGTGCAGAGCGTAAAACTAAAGACAGCGAAGAATCACTCACCGCCCTTGTCCTTCGCCACCAGGTCGACGCCACGGCGAAGGTGGACACGCAGCTGGAAGAAGGAGTGTTGACGCAGTGACGACTCCCGTTTCCTTGACAACTCATCGCAAACCGCAGGCTGGAGCAGAAACGACAAAATGTATCAGCACTTCAATTCACACGGCACACACAGCACTTAAATTAAATATTTTACGTTTTAGATCAAAAGGATTACTTCCTCTGTTCCGCGTTTTAAACATCGCTCATAACTTGCGTAAAACAGCTTGCTAGATGTGTATGCGTTCTTCAAAATTCTTCGTGTCCATTTACTTCATATATAAATCTAATGTTTCAATGATAAACAGTACAGTTATCACATTTAACACAGCCATAAATTCCAGGGCTGTTGATCTTTTTATTAACCCTTTGAAGCCGAAGATCGTCTGAATATTATTTATGAATTCAGTCCGTACCGCGAAGAAAACACTACACCTCACCATTACGAAAATCAGCTGGTTAATACTAAAAAGCCGAAGCTCGTCTTCATAATATTTACGAATCCAGACCGTACCGCGAAGAAAACACTTCACCTCACCATTACGAAAATCAGCTGGTTAACCCTTTGAAGCCGAAGATCGTCTGAATATTATTTATGAATTCAGTCCGTACCGCGAAGAAAACACTACACCTCACCATTGCGTTAAGCGCCCGCCTCTCGAAAACCGTAAGAGATGGATCTGGACATATTGCGTACGAAATACGTATTACCTCTTGAGCTTTCCATATCTGTTTTCAGATTTTACATATCACAAATGGTTTAGGTTCTACAAACATTTATTTAGCGCAATCCACTCGCGTCATTTCTTTACTTGGCAACTTGAGTTCATTTTCTTCCCTACAGGAGGCAGAACAGTCGAAATTATCGAGAGAGAACGACAAGGACTCTAGAGCAATCTAGTCGGTACTAAAATCTCCGACTCCTTCATAAAAGCTCAATATGTATTAATAAGGGTAAACCTATGAAAATGGCAAATGGCACCATAAGATATTTCATCACCACCACGAGAATCATCAGCATACTTTTTAGAATTATAACCTATAATTAAATATACGGGGTCCGCAGTGGCCGCGTGGTCTGAGGCGTGGGCCTTGTGCCGCTTGGTCGCTGGGACCGTGGGTTCGAATCCCACTCAAGCCATGGATGTTTATCCGCGTTTTTCTGTGTTGTGCTGTCCTGTGTACAGGTACAGGCCTTGCGACGGGCAGATCCCTCGCCCAAGGAGTGCTACCAACTGTGTAATAGATCAAGCCAACGAAAAGTTGTGACTCGCAGTGCTCAGGCACTTGAAGAACTGGTCGTTCCCAGTATCCCAGTGTATATAAAAAACTGATATTGTGGGCGTTTGTATAACTTCGCTTAAGAACGTATATACTGATTTGCACCAAAATTTGCATATTATTCCTCCAAAGCAGGAAGACATTTTATAAAGTTCAGAGTTCCAAAAAGTGCCCCGTGTTCGAAACCTGATTACGGTGGTTTCTGTATCTCGAAACCTAAACACGATAGAACATCGCCAAAATCAAAGTTGTTCGTATCGATGAGTATATTAAAGAAAAACAGCCATATCCCTGAAAACTGTCCTGGGTTCGATTATCAGTGAAAATGTCGGTTACGAGGATGGTGATGATAATTTATGATAATTCAATTCAATTCATTTATTTACGTGTTTGCCAACAGAAAGAAGCCAATAACGGACAAACACTGATAATACATACAATAATAATGAAATAATAATGAAAAATATTACACAAACAGATTAACTAAACTTATACATGTACAATATTAAAAATAACAGCCAAATACAGGCAAGCCCAAAATAGAAACAAATTTATATACAAAAAAAAAATGAAGAAATATAAATAAAAACAAATAATCCTCCTAGGAAGCAATAATATAATTGTAAAACGTTAAAGAAATACAAGAAACAGATAACCAAGCTAGATCTCTCCCTTATTGAGAACGTGCCCCCAAGGGAGACAATGTTTATGCTAAATACGTCCAAGGATATACATATGTAATTTGCAGCGATGACGCACCTCGCTGAAGGACTATACCTTAGTGCACTGCTCACACTAAAAGTAGAAAATTCTCTTATTTGCCTCGCCGGCACACGTAAACCAACAGCGTCCATAACGGAATGGCAATTTATTTTGTCCTTAAAGACATTAACAAGAAATAACGCATCGAGATGTCGTCGTCTGGAATAAAGTGTTCTAAAATTTAAAGTAGATAAGATCAGTTCATATTTGCGGGGGATATTAAACTGGAAAAATCGGTAATTGAACAAACTGGCAAATTTCCTTTGAATATTTTCTAATTTATTAGAATCTGTCTGTGTAAGATTATTCCATACGACCTAATTAAAACAAAAAGGCTGTCTAAAGAGTAAAAATTATAATAAAACGAATAAGCCCTAAGGTCCTTAGTGCCTGAGAATGAACACAATTCACATGACAGTGAAAATATAGTTTACTGTCGAACAAAACACCAAGATCATTTATACAATTAATACGTAAGATCACCATACTTATAGAATTTTCAGGCCTATAATAAGCTTTCGGACAATAACGATTAATAATAAATACAATTTGTTAAATAATTTGCCACATTTACCCACAGTAACACTGCAGGCACTCTGCACTCAATATGAGCTAATTTCGAGTTTTACGCTCGATTAGTATGGGAGTTATTCTGAAACGATACAGGACGAAAAGAATTAAATTAACACGGCAGTTATTAATACAAATTCTACTACCAAATGTTTTAAAATAAACTCCCTTCCCACCGCCAGGATGAGTTGTGTTAATTCTTGAAGATATATATATGAACCTCGCAGATCAGGACATAAGAAGGCCGAATTAATACTTTTAGATATTACTTTATTATTATTAAACAACTGTTAAACTCTTTGTCAGTATAATTCGAAATTTAAACTCCGCTAACACCAAAGTCACAAGACCCAAAATTTACTTGTTAAACTTACATTTCACAATACGGTTTTAAAGTTAATAGCACGCGAGGCACTTGTACGTAAATATCAGACGATATAAGAATCACGATTTCTTTTAAAATCGTTCAGAGGCAAGACATTTCAATAATAAACGACATTACGCGTATCTGCTTATAAGTAGTCTCGGGTCGGATGTGACTCGCGGGCCACCATTTCTTCACGCTGTTCTACGAGTTGTAAACTTTCAAGAAATCAATCTGAACTCTTGACTTCCAAATAGAAAAAAATCAGAAGATTGTAGAAAAAGGCACCAAGATATATTTCTTTCCGCAAGTGTTTCAAATATATTTACCATCTTTTTCTCATGAAGGCAATTTAGTGTGGCTAATGTAATGATATGTAGTTTCTCGTGGAAAAGTTGGCCAACATGCTCCAAACGATCGACTCAGTTATCGATTCCTCGCAGCTGAGTTTAAAAGCTATGTTGATACACATTGTAAATAAGCCCTCTTCAGTTCCAACAGAACACGCCGTCCATTTTAAAGAATCGACTGTCAATATGACAAATATTCTTAACATATCAGTAGATACTTCTAAGTGATAGCACGTATCGAACAATTCGCTTACGTTTAAACTGATTTTTCCGTTTTAATATTATCTTACACTCCGTCCATGTGTGTACTTTTCCTTAGTTTCCTTAGATTCTGCTTTACGTGTACGTATTAAAGAAATAAAACATTGAGGCCACATGGACAGAGTGTAAGATAATATTAAAACGGAAAAATCACTTTCAACGTAAGCGAATTGTTCGATACGTGACAAATACTAATAGCAAATTGATCACACGTTACAGTCGCGTGGTTAGCACTCCTGCTTCGTATTCGATAGGTCCTGGGTTTAAATCTCGGCCCAAATACCGGCTACCTGGCTGAGATTCTTCGTGGTTTTACTCATTCAATGGGATACTACCTTAAATTACGCCAAGACCGTTTACATTTATATCATAGTTAATTCATTATTCATTAATCACTGCCATTCGAAAAAGAATTGCACATGAATTCTATAAACATTAGCATAATGAGCTTGTAGTACGTGTCTGGACAGGTGCAGTACCGGGGATAAAACTGTGCGTTTCGCTAACGTCAGTAGCTTGCGTGTAGAAGGAACACAAAGGTACATATTTTCTAAGTAAAAGACATACCGACACTGGAACTGAGACAGCGGGCTACAGAGTCTTGCAGCTATAAAACGTTTGTACTCTGTTTATCTACTTCCCCTCCTTCCCCTCTAATTCCCTTGCCGAACGTCGAATGCACAGAGTCGTCTCGACTACCTTACAGCGTCTTTGTCATAAGCCCTTTACAAACACAGCACAATATGGCAGGCTCTGTACTCACTTTCAGCAGGGTAGACTGAGGTGTTCCGTGATTTTCACCAGACTTTCCAGGCGAATGCCAGAATAGCACATTGAAGTTGTGAGACGTTTCCTTCTCTGTCACTCTGCAACTTAGCTGCTTTCCTTTTTGTCAACCTGTTCCCAAACTTCTTTATTTTACCGTAAGAGTGCGCCATGATCTTCTGTTGTTTTCTTTCGTCATACGGGGACGAGTCCGAGTCATTCTCTGCACGATGGTCGTACACTTCACGCTGTTTCCATTTATTTCAGACCAAATCGCGGTTTTTCTTTACGGGTTGGAAACCGGGGGCAGAGAACTGGCAAAGGACCTCGGCGCTAGACGGTGTTTCATTCTTTAACTGTCTGTTTTATTTATATTCCTGTATAATCTTGTGTAATTCATAGTTTATAAAAAAGGAATAAACGATATTGTTATAAAGGGTACTGGACCTGTGAGCGTTGCAAAATGGAACACGACCTCCTGCTTGCTACCTCACTGGACGCTTTACATAACCTATACAGTTAGAATGGGTTTATCAAGTATCAATGCTGAAATTAAATATTTATGGAGACTAAGCTTTCTCTATATTAAAAAGTAATCAATAAAGAATTACACAAAGTAGCAGGCGCATGTTTTATGGTTAGAAAGGAACAAAACACTTTTGAACTTACTGCAGAGAAAAATGTCATGAAACTTCTCAATCACTCCAAACGACTTTGCATATCGATTAATCACTCTTGCATTATATCGTACATTATAAATTGGTCTGTGGACTATATGTCTAAACCACGTAATGATAAGATATTTTCATGCTCTGAGAAACCAAATATATAATTCATTTTAATATTTGGAACAGTGAATTTCAAACTATGATAAAAAATTTATTTCAGAATTCCTTAATTTCAGAACTTGCTTAAAAGGTAATTCTCATACGCGTGGGGTAAAAAACATTTTTATTGTGATTCTGTGTGTGAATAGTGACTTAATAAAAACGCAGCGATCTCGATTGTACCACGTTCCCTCTAGCTGAAAATCAAACACGGAACCTCCCGAAAACTAAGTACGAGGCGCGTCCCAAAAGTAAGTTTCCCACTCGTCCCACAGCTAGCAAACCTTATATTGAGCGAAGCGACTGTGCGTACGTGATAGAGCAATGACGTAGCATGGCGCATGCACTAAAGGCACTTCCCGCGTTCTCACAGTAGCATCGTTGCAGCTGTTGAAGATGGAGGTTCTTATTCCAGCCCCCGCCGACTGTGAAGTGCGGTCAGTGATAACGCTAGGCCGCACACGGCTCGACAGACAGCAAGTCTCCTGCAGGAGTTCAGCTGGGAGGTGTTTAATCATTCACCCTACAGCCCGGACCTCGCTCCCAGTGATTTCCATCTTTTCCTACACCTCAAGAAATTCCTGTCCGGTCAGCGTCAGCGTTTTGAGAATGACAGAGAGGCGGAGATGGTTGTCACACAGTGGTTCCAATCCCAGGCGGCAGACTTCTACGACCCAGGTATTCAAAAGTTGGTCCCACGGTGTGACAAATGTCTCAATTCCGGTGGCGAATCTGTTGAAAAATAGCTGGACACTTGCTGTATCTGTTGCAATAAATATTTCCATGAAATTGTGTTTTGTTTCTGTAAACGGCCCCAGGGAAACTTACTTTGTGGACGAGCCTCGTACATGTGATAATCACAGTATATAAAACTAAGAATTTTTCAAATCTGACATTGATCTATTCGACAAAGCAGTACATAGTAACTTGAATCAGTTCTTCCAATTCACACAGCGTCTTTACCAAATTTTTACAGCCGGCACCAATTGTGGCTTGAGATTGGTACGGCCATAAAAATCTCATTCCCTCGGTGAACACTCGATACAGGCAGACACTACCCGAGTCCCGAAATGTCGTTAACGCTATACGTGCTGTCTTACTCAGTATATCCTTGTCAGAATAATATCATCGACGGATTTTGATGTGAACCTGTTTTCTAGATGGTTCCCTCTTCACTGCACCTGAAGACGAGGACAGATACAGTCCTTGAAATGCGTGTTTTGTAACATTAGACGATGGACAAGGTCCAGAGCGTGTAATCAAGAATGCGATAAGTTCAGAAACATAACATAAGTCACGTACTAATATCTTACCTCGATTTATGAGACCAAACTCTCAATTTCAGAATATTTAAATGTTTAAGCGTGAGAATCAGTACTTCAGTCAGTCCATAACAGAGAGAAGCACATCGTATCCCCCTTCGCCCTTTATCAATTCCTTCAAGTTACATTATCAGCACGAGATATATTCAAATTCGTAAATTCTGCTCTGGGACACGAGATTAAAAATACATCGAAATGAAAACCTTTTTCGAAACGACAAACCAAAGTAGTTCTGACAGAACAGTCACTAAGCTCACTAAGTTACGGTGCTGGAAGACCGGGTATCGATTCCCAGCAGGGAATAATCTTCTTCGACATATTTTATTAATTCATTGAGGATTCTATCTACGTCCAATTTGTAGGGAGTAATTTTAAAGATTCGCATGGTCGCCATGTTTCAATTGAGTTAAAATTCTTCATAGACCAATCGCAGATACGTATGTTCATGACTTGTGACATTTGATAAACAAATTTCAAATGCGTAGATCCAATGGTTCATTAGTTGTTGCAATCAAAACAAAAACTAAATACTGATTTCAAGCAGCCGCCATTTTATTGTTTTAAGTTATTGAAAATTAAAATTAAATTATTTGGTTATTCCGTCAAATCACAATGTATTTAAAATAAGATAATTAAAATAATTAAAATATCATTCTGTGTTCCATATCGAATAATCGATTTACAATTGGAACAGTTACAACGTGTTTCGGTTTTATTAAACCATCATCAGGTGTAAAATTATATTAAATTTAAAACTCAATTACAATTTTTTACAATTCAGTAATAAACCTTGATCGGATACGGTAATACTTCTGGATCACCTCCAGACACAACTGTGTTGTCTACTATTTCATCTCTGACCGATGTAAACCTCAAAAGCATCACTTCAAAGAATAAAGTTGATCCATTATATGAAAATATCTGGACACGACCTCCAAAAAACTACACTACGAAAAATTGTGAATAATTGTAATTGAGTTTTAAATTTAATATAATTTTACACCTGATGATGGTTTAATAAAACCGAAACATGTTGTAACTGTTCCAATTGTAAATCGATTATTCGATATGGAACACAGAATGATATTTTAATTATCTTATTTTAAATACATTGTGATTTGATGGAATAACCAAATAATTTAATTTTAATGTAATAAGTCACAATGTGACGCAACTACACTATCTTATTGAAAATTGTCTCAATACAAGTTAAAACAGGGGCACAGACTGACACAGTCGGCCCTGAATGCGTTCATTTTGTGCATACAGTACAATGAACGCATAATAAACTAAAATCCAAATATAAACACGAAATCAGGCTAAAGTTTTAGGGGGGATTCCATGTTAAGTAAACATAAAAATACAGTTAGAAATATGTAGCCAGTCTGGAAGGCCGAAACTGAACTTACAACATATAACATGGCACATAAACGTGCATAAACATATTCGTTCATTTACACAGATTCGTTTTATAAGAATCTGGTACATTCAAATTCCTATGTTCGATAGAAATTACAAATTTGGACTGATATAAATCGGTAATTCCTGATTTATACAGGCATACCTCGTTTTATTGCTATTCGCAGATATTGCGTTTTTTTTTTTAAAATTTGAAGGGTTGTGGCAACCCTGCGTCGAGCGTCTATCGGCGTCATTTTCCCAAAAACACGTGCTCAATTCGTGTTTCTGTGTCACATTTTGGTAATTCTCGAAATATTTTGAAACTTTTTCATTATTATATATGTCAATAGACTACATTATAGTGTAAATATAACTTTTATATGCACTGGGAAACCAAAACATTCGTGTGACTCGCTTTATTGCGGTGGTCTGGAACCGAATTCGCAATATCTCCGAGGTATACCTGTATGTCGAAAATTAATGTATCGCTCAATTCTATTGCATCTAAAGGAAAATGAGTGGAAAAGACGTCGGTGGAATCAGTCGGATCATATTAACAAACTATTCACCCCCGTACCTGGTCATTTTTAATAATCCATTCATTTAATTATACGCGCATTAATATTAAAGGTATTAATTAACTGATGGCTGCAAAAATCTTGTATAAACGATGTCTATAATCCTTTGCCAATTCCAATTACACTGCCAGTGCGTGATGCTACATCAGATTTTCAATGTATTAAAATTTTAAATTAGATTTTACAACGTTTTGCTACATTAAAAAGAGGCAGGACCCATTGAATTATTGTTCTACTCCGTTAGCATGAGCAAACTATTAAATGACATCCCATCTTCGCGTACTTTAAAACTCTGTTCTCCAACACTGCGATTTTCAGAACTTGTGAAGTGGGAAAAATGCCAAAATCTTTAAATTTTTATGGTTTAAGATCTTTGAAAAGTGTGACACTTAAAATAACTCTATTTGGGGGGGGCAGGGGGCGGTGGGATAATAGCACGTGGACTATGGTAACGTAAGCAATTTCGTGTTACAGCGTACAATAACTGAAAATCATAACTGGTGACCTGGAGATTGTATGGTGATACATACACTTACGTTGAGTTTCTTTACTTAAGAATCGAGTAAAATGTTCAAAGATAAAATCCAGCTTTAATAACGTCCTTCGAAGAAAACCTGCCATAGCGATGTTTTATTAATCACCGATGATACATGGGCTAACCTGGAATTGACATGTGTTCTCTGAAGCAGTCAGAGAAACTGCAGTGCAGAAATTTCTTACGGATAATCAAATCAACGAGAATAATATAGGCAGAACGAGTTGTGCATAGGAAAGATAAGAAATGCTTATAAAATTGTGGCTGAAGGGACTGAAGACCAGAGACCACTCGTAAGAACAAGCTTATATGGGAGGATAATATTAAAATGGGTCTTACAGAAATAGGGTTTGGGGGGTGTCGATTCATCATGATCAAGATAAGGACATGTGTCAGGCTTCTGCAAATTTTTTTATTTATTTAGTGTTCTGTCTGACGACAGGTCCATATGAACAGGATCCTTCCATCCTTTTCTCGGACTGGGACCTGTTCATATACGTTCTTGACAGATGATCCAGAAGTGGTTTGCCATTTCCTTCTTCTGTGTGTGAATGGAGTAATTGTTGGGATGCCACGGAGAAACCGGGGAAGCCCCCGGAGGAAAACTCCGTAACGAAATTTCACGTCCCATAAAATGTGGTAACTCTTGATTACCTTAGAGTTAAATTAGCTTCTCAAACATATCTCCATTCCATTGAGTTACAGTTAATTCGGAACACTAAAATGCTCTACACCACCACGTCTACTTACCACAGCAGGTTCAAGAGATGCAGTGGAGGTTGTGGTACCTGTAGTAGCTGACGTTGCAATCGCTGTCCTGCTAGTGGGGTCTCCACTAGCCGCGGTTTTAACTCGGAGTTTCGGGGAATCCCCAGATGCCATTTCGGCAGCGGACGGTGGTCGACGGATTGGAGATGAATCTGTGACAAACGAAAATAATTAAATTAATAAAATGAAACTTAGGGGCAGCACGTCTAATTTTTATGAGAATAAATAATAAGCTAGAATAGTGTACTCCATATATGAACACACATAATATTCTCATGTGCGGGTAAATTGTGAACGTTGTATAACTTTAATAGTTCGACCCTTTTTCCAAAAAATGGCCGAACCCGTGCGATTTTTACCTGTGGAGCATGCTGAAAAACAAAGTTTATATAAAAAATCCGACAATTCATTTCGACAATTTCCCAAGAAGAGCTTCGTCGAGTATTTCGAAACATGTTAACGAGATGTGAAACTTGCTTGCTAGCACAAGGAAGTCACTTTGAACATCTTTTGTGATTTAAGGTAAAAACAATTAATGTAATAACATGTATTAGTGACGAGAAATATTCGTAGCGGCACTGAAACCGATTCGCCTGTGACTCAGGGGTAGAACACGCACCAGTCCTGCCGACGTCAACAGTGTACCGGCCGAGCACGCAATGCAAGCATGTCCGTTACCGCATAAATTGAAGACCCGGTACATAACTCATATGAACCAAAATTATCTGATGTTCCTTCCACTGAAGCCAGCCCTTTTTGGGGTAGATGGCAGCTAAATTGCATTTGGAAACCTTGTCACTATAAATTTTTCGATCCCAAAAAGTAGTATATTTTCTGAATAATATATTATACAACAAGAAAGAAGAAAGAAAGTAAGACGTATGTAGGTCTTCTATTCTTCTTCTTCCATTGCAATTGTCGAAACAACAGTGATTTTTATAACAAAGACACTTTAAATTTCATTGTCCTGGCTCATCACACTTTTGCGAACATTTACACCCAATACTGAACTGTGGATCCAGAAATTATTAAAGGGATTTTCCAGCGTACGGTTTCGAGAGCGTGTTCCGTGTGATAGTAGGAAAATATTACTGGAGGCCTATATTTTGTAACAGCGTCCACACCGCTCGTACTTTCCCGAATAAAGGCGAAATTTTGGGAACCGCCTCTTGAACCTGCAGAAATTGGCAGGCGATCTGAGCACAGATAATTGCAAAAACATGACCACCTGTCTCATCGATACGCGAAGACCAGGGAGTTACAACATATTTCTATTAATCATTGTCTTTGAAGCGTCTACTGATGACATACGAGGTGCGATCGGAAAGTTTCAAGACTGCGCCTATAAAAACCCGTACACTTATCTCAGGTATTAAATTCATCCATCACCCTCGAAGTAGTTCCCCTGGGAGTGAACACAACGATCCCA